AAACAAAGGGAAATAAATAAATTTCACATAAAATAGAACAAAATAAAACATAACAAGTTGATGCCATTTGGTCTACTTCCGGCAACTTCAACAAACACTTAAGCACACAACCCACACTGCACAGATCAGCGTACGAACGAACAGGGATGTTGTTAGAGAACAGGGATGTGCTAAGATCAACTGTGTCAATACACGCGCACACAATTGCGAAAACAGGGCTTAACCCTTTGGGAATTTTAGCTTTGTGTGCTTAAGCAACAACCAAACAATATTTTTCTTTTTCCTGGGTGTTTTTCGGCTTTTATAGCTAATTTTCTTATTTGATTATATGTTTGGTATTATTTGGGAGATGTTTCTTTTGTGTATGCACACTCCTATATATGAGTCAATGGTGCCATAACTGTGGGAACGGAAATGTTAAATATGACAAAAATTAATCTTTAGTTCAATTTTGTAGATCAAATAACGTTAAATAGCTGTGTTTGATTTTAATGAGATATAGTCTAAAATGATTGTGATTTCTTGTATACAATTATTGTCAATTTTTGAAAAATTTCGTTAAAAGAAGATAAAATTAACATATATATCCATATAAATTAAACAGAATTCCTTTTAAATAATTATTTGTAGCTCAATTAACCAGCCTTTTCAGTTAAGTGACTGAGATTGATTTTAACTTAGCCTTGTACTTTAAGAAATTAATTTCACAAATAAACTGTCTTAAAACAAGAAATGAATTATTTTCTTGTTTGTATTACTTGATTACAATTATATAAATTTTTATAAATTTTATACATATATTATATATGACGTCTAGCTTCTGTCCTGCTTATGCACGGCGCCGCCTTAATACTTTAGGGGCTTTTTTTTTGAGGATCTTGATGAATTTCAGGATCTCCCTGTGCATAGCATCATAAGCTTTGCCAAAAGTTCTAGTTGGTTTTAACCTTTGGGTTTTTAATAATACGGTAGCACAATGGACGCATAGGCTTAAGTCGATCCTCTTGAATCGCCAGTATAAACTAAGGTAAACTATATGACGTCTAAATTATAATTAGGTTATGTTATTCGACGCTTCTATAGTTTAAAAAACATCTTGTGCCGTGAAAAAATCTGACAATATCTTGAAGCTAAGTAAGACTTTAGGTAAGTGACCTTCAGTATTGTTATTGGTCATTGCAGATACATTGTACATTATTAAATCAGATGTGAAGCACTCCTTTTGTCTTCTTTATAATTACAAGAGAAATTATTGAATAGAGAGATCTAATCTTTTAGTATGGTACACTT